CTGCCATTCCTAGACAAGCTTGCAAACGAGAGGAACGGAACATTGGGTATCGGTGTTCTACGAATCGGGTTGAAGAAAAAACTTGCGTCGTGAAAGGTGACGGCGATAACCGTTCCAGTGTGGAAAGAAATATAGTTCACACATACGGTTATTAATCAATATTTCTTCGCAACTTGTGCACATAGTAAAGGTGTGCAATATTTAGCATCAGTGCCAAACGCCGTGTGGGTGCATTTTCTGTGTACACTATGTCATCGTATGCCATCCCATCACGAAGCAAGCGCGCTGACTTTCGCAATGCCAGCCGAGTCGCCAAAGCCGTCCGCGTCTGCAAACGAGCAAACGTAAACGATCGTGTTGCCGTTGCCGTTGCCATGTGTTCCCTTCTCCTTCGACTCGGTTCGTACGATCATTCGTCATTAAACGCAGACCGAGTTGTCGCTGACCGACCTGACTGTACACCTGTTGTCTGACTGTCGATTGGTAGGTCGTTCGGTCGGTCGGTAGGTAGGTCGGCGGGAACGGGGTTGGTTGGTAGGTAAACAGTAACGAAGTTCTCGCTCCACTTGCCCTCTGCAGCTGCTGCTGCTGCTGCTGCTGCTGCTGCTGGTGTGTACACCGCTGGCTTATGTTTCGTACTAAGCAACCAACGTCACAGGTATAAAAGATCATTGGATCGCGACGGCACACGCCGAAACTCGGCTGCAAGAAGAGTAGCAGGTGTTCTACCGAAGAAGAGGAGTTTTCGAACGGACCTAAGTATTATTTTCGGAAGTATGACGAATTCTTTAAAAATCATCGAGATGAGTATTTATTAGTTTTATCTTGCAGGAAAAGGTTCGTTCAGATGTACAGATTACCCCTATATCTAGGCCTCAGCATTCTTGTCTGCATATTCAAGTCTACGCCTTGGCTTAGATAGTATTTCGATGAGAATCATGCTTTACCGGTCTGGGCTGGAAAACAAATTACTTCCTATACACAGAAATATGGAAGAACTATCACTCTGGGTGGTAACATAGACATAAAATTCTCGGTTTTGAATTAAAGTTGATATGTATATATACCTGCATTTAACCTATGACCCTGTCGCAACAGTTATTAGTTCATTTACAATTTCCAGAAGTAAATTTTGTGTCTATCAAAGTGTCAAGAGGATTCTGAGGTTGAGATTCTATGTACCACCGAGAGAAACGGTTTATCTTTCTATCTTTGGTTCGTTATTACCGAGGATTTTCGTTTTCTGCTTGGAGGGGTCATGTTTAGTTTGCGTATCATTGAGATGAACTTGGAGCATATCGTTGACCCGACAGCCTGATGTATGTTCTGTTCAGCGCAGCGACTTATCAGGTGCTTGCTAGCAAATGATAGCCATGCCTTTCACGTGAAGATTAAACTAGGAATCTCTTGGCGTTCAGATGCCAGAAGCAAAGTTAACGCCGTTCCAGCACGCTATCAGGTTCACCGCAAATGATTCGTGAGCACACAAGAGCACCGATGTGAAAATCAACTTCAGACTCCTGTCTGCCTTAGATAGGTAATGCTGACTACTTAAAATTAAGTCGCAGATTTTATCCGGCGTTGTTCACCATTATGCCATATGCCATATTTCCTTGCGGCAAAAATACCACTCTCTAACGAGTGTTTTCTTGATTTAAAATATTTCTAAACGCGTTTGTGGTCATTCGTCGGCTTTCATTGGATAAACTGCTCCTTCTGCAAATTACTGTTCTTTTTGGGCGGTTTTATCGCACCAAACCAGGTGCTGTTGATGTTATTGGCGTTAAATGAGAGTCAGGCATCCCTTTTGCTTTGAACGAAACAATCTTTAGTCGGTGCCTGCCCCAAGGGCTAAAGCAGACATGCGATACACCCACCTTAGGCACGAAAACTGCTCACAGATTGCAGGCTACTCAACGCAGCATGGAAAGATGCACACCAGAAATAACAAGAAATCCTTGCTAACACACAAACAGCATTCAGTTCAGCGA